TATAATGTAACATACATATAAATGATATACATACATATAATACATATGTATTATAATTAATATATTAACTAATAACATATATAATTAATATTATATTAACTTATAACAGTGTTATATTAACACTGTGCACCCACGTGAGCCAGGTGGGTCCAGTAGCGAGGCTGGGGATACAGCGTGACTTTCACTGACCCAGGGCCTCCCCACGTGGAGCTTACAGTCTACATATTTGTCACGACAGAGCTTAACAAAAACACAGGAAAAATGATCAGCTACTCACGTGGGTTCACTATGACAAGCCAAGTGCTAGGGGTGGGTACAAAATAGACTTGGTGATGCCCTAGGGAGGCAACAGTCTAACAGAAATATTCCCAGTTAATCACACCCCAGAGGCATAGTCCAAGCTGGGATGATTCCTCCCATGCATGAAACATACAAGACGCTCTGAGTGACCATTACAAGGGAACTGAAAAAAGAACAAGGGTGGTACAGGTTGAAGATTGACCTTGTTCTTTCTCTGGATTGCAAAACATTCCATGGATGGGATTCCGGAACTTAGCGAACCTGTCCAGCACCTGTGAACAGCACCAGCCCACTGTAAATAACTCCGCTGCCAACGTCCCTGTGTGTGTCTTTGTAACCTCGTGCAGAGTGGGGTGATGGTTACTATGAACCAAGGCTTCCAGTGGTAGTGGATTTCTTCCCTTTGTCTTTTCTAAGGATCAGGAAGACATTTACTTCATGAAGGGGGCCTTGGAAGAGGTGATCCGCTACTGCACCATGTACAACAACGGAGGCATCCCCCTGCCGCTGACACCCCAGCAGAGGTCATTCTGCCTGCAGGAAGAGAAGAGGATGGGGTCCCTCGGTCTGCGGGGTCAGTACCTGTGGCCCCAGCCCAGAGCTTTAAGCTTGCATGTAACATTGACTTTTAAGTGCATTCAAGCAGGATCCCCAGTCAAGGAGGTCACCTGTCCCAAGGAGTCAGGCAGCATGCTGACAGCAACGACATGTGCTTGGAACCTGATGGTCCCATGAAAGGCAGGCCCCCACCTCATCCCAGTTCCTCAGTGACCCCTGTTAATCCCCAGAAGAGGGGGACCCTCCCTTGCTGAGTTTCCTAAGGCAGGTGAATGGGCTGCACCCCAAACATTGATTTTCCCAATAGGTCTTTTTGCTCATTGCCTCTTATCAGGAAAACCTGAAGCTCTTTTCAGTCAAGGAATATATCTTCTCCCTTGGCCATTTTCAAATTTCTGCAGCAGAGCCAGTGGCTTCCCTGATGGGCTGAACATTAAAACTCACATTTCCCTTGGTGTCATTTGTCACCCTAGCCAGGTACAGAGGAAGCGTTTAGAAGCGCTGCTGGGCGCTGGTGTTCCCCTGGGGGGAGGTGAGAGGCGTTGGGCTGGCCTTAGGCACTGGTGTTCCCTTGAGGGGAATGAGAGGCGCTGGGCTGGCCTTATTGGCTCAGGAGCCTTGGTCTTCCCCTTCAGGGAACAGAGTTTGTAGGTTGCTGGCAAGTTTGCTCAGAAGTGTACAGCGCGAGACCCTTGTGGCTTTCTGGGGCACGGTGAAGCCAGCGCCGAGCATGTGTCCCCTCTTCCCGAGTGAGGGGAGCATTCCCCAAAGCACAGGTGCTTTGCCTCCCAAATGGTTTGTGTAGCGCTGGGTCTACAATAGGCCCACAGGTAAATACTGTGCCTCAGTTTCCCCATATGCATAAGGAAGGCACGAGAGTAGTGACTTCACTGATTGCTGTAAGGATTGGAAGAGACGGTGGATCCCGTCTTAGCTTGCCCTGGGCCTTGACTCTGTTTCGGTGGCAGAGAAGCCAGGCCCAGCCCCTGCGAGCTGGGTGATCTGAGAGGGGCTGGTGTAAGAAGGTCCTTTTCACCTCACTGACACCAGAGACGGAGCTGTGGCGTCCCTCCTGCACAGTGGAGGGATTGGGAGAAAATCTGGCGCGTGGGTGGCAGCTGCTGTCGTCATGGTTGATAGGACCAAGCCCTTCACTAGCTCCCTGTTCTGGTCACATCGCGCCTCTGCTGACAATGAAACGGCTCACTTAAGAGCGGACACGTGAGTAAGTAAACATCCCACGTGGTCCTGGCCTCTAAATCTGCTCCTGGCACTTGGGCCCCACCTGTGTGCCGGGCACCATGAAGTGCCTGTGTGAGGCCACGCCCTGAATCCCACCGGGCAGTGGAGCCAGCCCGGGTGACAGCCCGGCCTAGTGCAGCCAGCGCCTTCGCCCGAATGTCTGCTGCGCTGCTGCAGAGCATGAGGACGCGTTCCAGGGGCTTGCTCCAGACTTTGAGGGAGAGCGTAATGAGAACGGGTCAGTGGCAGACGAACAGTGAGACCTTTTCCTGTGTCCCCCAGTCCACACGCAGGTCCTTTTGTGTTTACAAATGAACTTGTCTCCCACCTGTGGCTGGGAAAGCTACAACCTGGGAACTGGCCTTAGAGAAGGCCTGTGCATTTTTCCAACCCGTGTCTGGCCTGAGAAGAGAAGGGATGTTATTCCTCAGCAGGTGACCGTGAACTGATGCCTGCTGCCTGGCAGGCCTGGGGCAGTGCCCGGGTGACTTAGAGAAGCCCCAACATGCTAGATCCCCTGGAGTGATTGCTGTGAGGATTGGAAGAGTCAGTGAATCCTGTCTTGAGTTCTGAGACCCCCCACCCCACACACATCCAGGGGAAGATGACAAACCCCACGGAGCGGGAAGGAGGGTTGGGGTGAGGGGAGCACAGAGGCAGGAGTGAGGACCTCCGGGGACAGAGGGCTGCCAGGTGGCCACTAGAAGCAGGGGATGCTCCTACTTCTAGTTTGGTCGGGGTGGGGGGCATTGGAAAAGGGGAGGAAGAGCAGCAGTGTCATCGGTGCAGGAGGGATGCCAGCCCTGTCTTTGGTGTCAGTGAGGTGAAAAGTCCACCACCCCCTCTGAGATCACCCGGTTGGCAGGAGCTGGGCCTGGCTTCTGTGCCACCAAAAGAGAGTCAAGGCCCAGGGCAAGCTCACAGCAAGAGTCCCCTCAGCTGGGTCGCTCCCCTGTCAATTTTTAACCTCTGTGCAGCTCCCCCACGTCTGCTGGCAATGACAAAATGAGTTAGCACAGAGCAAATGAGGGCAAGAATTGTCAGAACTGTCCTATCCTACTCCACCTCACGTGTCCCATTCTGGGCCAGCTCAAACAGGTTTCTGTGGCCACTTTTGTTGGGAAGTGGGGTGGGTCTCATACCATGAGTGGTGTATTAGTCTGTTTTCATGCTGCTGGTAAAGACAGACCTGAGACTGGGTAATTTATAAAGAAAAAGAGGTTGAATGGACTCACAGTTCCACGTGGCTGGGGAGGCCTCGCAATCACGGCGAAGGTGAAAGGCACATCTTACATGGCAGCCGTCAAGAGAGAATGAGAGCCAAGCCGAAGGGGAAACCCCTCATAAAATCATCAGATCTCATGGGACGAATTCACTGCCACAGAACAGTATGGGAAACCACCCCCGTGATTCAGTTCTGTCTCACTCAGTCCCTCCCACAACCCGTGGCAATTATGGGAGCTGCAATTCAAGATGAGATTTGGGTGGGGACACAGTCAAACCCTATCAAGCGGACAGCAGTGGTATTTTCTGCTATGCGGCTGTTTCTGGTTCCCCTCTCTGTCTGGTGTGCATCTGCGCAGGCCTGAGAGCCGCTGCAGGCATCTCTGTCCTCCCTTTCAGTCTAGGGACTTGATGCCTGAGCCCTCCACAGACCGAGGAGGATCTGGGCCATGGTTGGGGCTGGCTGGGGACTAACAAAGGGCTGGGCATGTTGCCTGACACCTGTCACCCCAGCACTTTGGGAGGCTGAGGTAAACGGATCACCTGAGGTCAGGAGTTTGAGACCAGCCTGGCCAACATGGTGAAACCCTGTCTCTACTGAAAATATAAAAATCAGCCGGGCCTGGTGGCGCATGCCTGTAATCCCAGCTACTCAGGAGGCTGAGGCAGGAGAATTGTTTGAACCCAAGAGGCGGAGGTTGCAGTGAGCTGAGATTACACCACTGCACTCCAGCCTGGGCAACAAGAACAAAACTCCCTCTAAACAAAATAAAACGAAAAAACAGAAACAACAAAAACAGATGGCCCCTGAGCCCCCGGTGATCCCTCCTTACTCCCCCTCTCTCCTCAGTTCTGGCTCTGGCTTCTGGGCCCGAGCTGGGGCGGCTGACATTTCTGGGTCTCGTTGGCATCATTGACCCCCCGAGAGCTGGCGTGAAGGAAGCAGTTCAGGTTCTCTCCGAGTCTGGCGTGTCCGTGAAGATGATAACGGGAGATGCTCTGGAGACGGCCTTGGCCATAGGTAACCGGGACAGGGTCAGGGGTGAGGACGAAAGGACCCGTCCATCCTTTACAATGGGGGGCTGCAACCAAAGGGAAGCCTCAGCTAGCTTGGTCAGGAGGGCTCACACCTAGCCCTGTGGGCTTAGAAAAGACGCTGAGTATTCGTGGCCAGCATTCCAATTTCTGAGGTGTTTCCTGTTTCTGAAATGTTGGCAGGTTCTGCAAAAGGGGAAAAGTCCTCATGGATAGTGAGGACCTACTGTGTGTCAGGGGCTTTTCATCCACTGTCTTCACAGGCAGCATCATGGCCATGCAGAGATTCAGTCTGCCGTCTGCCTCTAGCTGTGTACCCCTGGCAAACCATTGAACCACTCTG